ATATTTATTTTTTAGTTTTCGGTGGACACAACATCTTTGTTGGTATGTGCTGCTGAGGATCGAACCCAGGGCCGCACGCATGCCAGGCGAGCGCGTTACCGCTTGAGCCACATCCCCAGCCCTATTTCTTATTTTGAGACAATGTCTCGCTAAGTTCCTTAGGGCTTTGGTTGCTGAGGTTGGTTTTGAACTTGGGATCTTCCTGCTTTGGCCTCCTGAGCTGCTGAGATTACAGGGGTATGCCCCTATGCCCTGCTTCAGAAGCTCCACTTGTCTGTGATGCCCTATAATGCCAGCCAGAGTTGACTCATCTGCAAATGAGCACTAGACTCATCTGTGACCTTTCCTGGGATTGTGGGATCAGGTCCCAGAGACAGCTTCTCCCTCTTGCTGGATGCAGCCTGTAAATGGGAGGGCTCTCTGCAGTCATACCTCTTGCCCAATGGAGAGTGGGTCCACAGAGAGAATAAGGCAAACACACACAGCAGCAGACAGAAGAGAGAAAACTCTGCAAGTTGAGGCCTGGTCCTGAACTGTTTCTAAGATCTGGTTGCATTCCTGCCTTTGGATTCTACAATTCATCTCTATATCCTTATTACAAATTCTTGTTTGCTTAAGCTAGCTCCAGTAGGTTTCTATGACTTACATATTAAAAAAAAAAAAAGTCTTAACACAGTAGTAAAATTCCTTTGAAAAATTCCAGCCTTGTCTTGCCTGAACTAAGAGGGGAAAACAAAACATACAACCCAAGCCAGAAATGTGAGCCAAATGTGGTRTAGGCAATTCAGCCATCACTGGAGAACTCTGGGTTGAGCTATGAGGCAAGGGGTTGGACAGAGGTCAGGAGAAAGTGAAAAACTCAGGACTGGGATGAACAGGAGCCACCTTTCTACCAGAAATTTTCCTGTTGTAAGCTCTTAACTTTGACTATGTAGAATGCCCAAATCATAAGGCTTAACTACTTTTCACTAGACTCAGTAGAGGCTCATCTATCCCCTTTGTAAAATCTTTCATTGAAGGGGTTGCTGGGCCTTTCCCCCAGGTCCCCAGCCTGGGGAGATGCTGAATAAATCGTGGGGTCCATTCTGAACTCTGCAGCCAGTGAGGGACAAAGGGAAGCAAAAGTACCCATTGGTCTGGACTGGGAAGATGTGAGCTGCCTAAAGACCACGGAGAGGTATAATTACTCTGGAAAACTGTGTGTGGGGAAGTGAAATCCAGAGATGAGGTGTTGCTCTGTACAGTGGCACATGCCTAAATTCTCAGGGACTCAGGAGGCAGAGGCAGGAGGATAAGAAGTTTAAGGCCAGCCTCAGCAACTTAGTGAGAATCCTGTCTCAAAATAAAAAATAAGAAGGGCTGCAGATATAGCTCAGTGGTAGAGCATCCTGGGTCCAATCTTTAGTACTGCTAGAATAAAAACAAAAGCAAAATAGATGAGGTGTCATCCCTTAGGCTGGAACCTGATCATCAAACCCCTCCACTCCTTTCCTCAACCATTAGAGCTGAAAGGACATCCAGCTATGATTGGCTCAGCCCTTGTTTATTTGTCACCGAGTCCCCATGTCCCTCATAATCTGGGGACTCTCCCAGGATACTTGTCCAACAAACCTTTTTCACTTCAAGGTGACTAATGAAGGTCTCCTGGCTAGTTCCAGCTGGGTCCCAGGAAAACAAGGCTTCATGCAACTCTAACACTGTAGATGGCTCTGTAGGGGGATCTGAAAAGACAAGAAACCACTTATCTTAGGATCCTAGTCTACCATCAACCTGCCTGGATGGGAAGGGTATATAGGGGGCATGTCATTTGCCCTCATCTACCTGCCAAAAGTAATTCAATCTCAGTCTGGCTCCGCTCTACCCACCCCCCCACAGCATCTATGTACAGTGCCCAGGTGGTTACATCCTGCTGCTTCCCAATACCTGAGCTGTAGTATGCCTGGGGATTGTGATTTGGAAGGTCAAGGAAACGCTGGATCCGCACCAAGGACACTTTGGCCTCCAGGAGGCCATTGATGACCCAAGGGAAGTTGTTGAGGGGAAAAATGAGCATGCGCACCAATGCCAGGGCTGTGAACACCTGAATGGGGTGAAAGTGGAGAAGGTATCACCCAAAGCCTGGGAACTACCTGAGAGCCTGCTTTTCTGAAGGCCCTGTGGACAGGTCTATAGAAGAAAGAACAGAGTAGGAGAGCTAAGGGGTTGACTGGGGAGTCCTTGGGTTATAAACTCCTCTAGGGATACAGGTTGCATTTTTGTTGGTGTTTTTTTTTCTTTTTTCTCGGGGGGGGGGGGGAGTGGTGCAGGGGATGGAACCCAGGACCTCATACACTCTTAAGCACATGGTCCATCACTGAGCTCCACCCTAGCCCTCCAGGCTGTATCTTTACAGATGCCCAGGCCCAGCTCACTCGAGACCTCAGAATTTCTAACTGGTAATAACACCTGGCCCTGACCAGATCCAACACTGGATTATGGATTTTTTTTTCCCCAAGGTCATTAGGCTGAGGATAAAGGGATCTAACTGTAAGCCTGGATCTGACAGGAAGTTGCAGTAGAAGGAAGAGTAGAGGAAGAAAAGGAGTTCCTCCACAGAGGGAAGGCTTATATCTCCAAGGTCTCAAAAACAAAACAAAACAAAACAAAACAAAATCACAGTGTCCCCTTGGCTGGGAAGGGATGAGGCAACCAGGGATCTTCCTTCTTTCTTTCAGAGCCAGAACTGAGGGCCTGAACAACATCTCCACTCTACCGCAGTCTCCTCACCACTGCCTTCCCCTGTGCCTTCCTAGAGCTATCCTCTCCCTTCTCAGCCCTCACCTTGGTAGCAGTGAGCTGGTGCCCCATAAGGACATAGGTAATGAAGATGATGATAGCGATGACAACCGGCAAGGCGGCCCACAGGTATACACAGGCTGCGTCCAGGTATTTGATGACTCGGAGTCTTCCCAACTCTTGAGCCCGGTAGGCCTCAACTCGGGCCCCCAGTGCCTTCTCCCACCCAAAGAACTTGATGACTCGAATGCCACTTAGCAATTCTGTCACAAGCTAGAGACAGGGGATAAGAGAGCAGTGTGAAGTGAAGACACTGCTCATGTGTCTGCTCCTCTGTTTGGATGCTGGGTGGGGTCAACAGATGGCTGAGTGATCCTGGCAGCTCCTCACCTTAACCCGTGCATCCTTATGCTGTAGCATCTCCTGGTTGCTGGCCATGATGCAGGTAGCAATCACTTTGTTGACAGGTACCAGCAGCAGGGCCAAGACCAGACCACCCACAAAGGCCAGGCCCACCTGGTTGTACAGCAGATAGAGAGTGATGGCCAGCTGCAGGGGCAGGCCCCAGGCCTCATGGAAGCTGCTGGCAAAGTTTAGCAGCCGCTCAGAGTCAGTGCCTAGTAGGTTGAGGGCCTCCCCAGCAGGAGGACGACTGGGCCCCAGCTGTAAAGTCTTGCGGTATAGGATGTTCAGCACAGCCCCCCGTGCCTGCAGTGTCACCTTGCGCACCTCATACCCATATTGATTCTGTAGCACAGCACCCAGTACCGCCCCACTAGCTAGCCCAAGGGCATAGAGCAAGCCATGGCTTAGTGGCTCTTGCCCTTCCTCCAGGAAGCCCACCAGCAGGGAGAGCAACAGAGGCCCTGAGAATCCCACCATGGTTCCCACCAGCTTGAGCAGTCCAAGTGCCAGGTAACGCCGCCCAAAGGCTCCATACAGGGCCCTCCACAGCCGGGCACCCTCTTGCCAGTGTGCCTGAAAGGCCCGGGCCAGGTAGGCTGGATGCAGCCTGCGAGGGAGATGGCAAGTGTCTTGGGGCTGCCGGAGCTCTCCCTGGGCCCCACGGGCCAGCAAGGGTGCCAGCCAGGCATAGGAAAAGCGTGACAGCCAACTCTCCCCATCTTCAGACACCTCGGGTTCCTGATCCTCAGAAGATAGGAAGGGCTCTTGAGTCCAGGGTTCTTGTGGTCCCTTCGGGGCTGCCCAGCCCAGTCCATAGGCCAAGATTGCTGCCAGCTGCAAAATGAGAAGACAGAGGCGGGCCAGGGGACCTGGGAGAAATGGGGGCAGCAATGTGCCCTTCTGGCAATGCCAGAGCAAGGTTAGCACTAGGGCTGGAGCTGGCAGGAAGGCTGCCAGAGCTAAGGTCAAGGGCCCCCGGGTGAGGCCATGAGGGGAATGAGCTAATGTCCACAGAGCCAGGCTGTGGCTGAGCCAGGCCATAGCTGCCACACACCCTGCCAGAACCTCCAGCCCTATGGGCCCCGGGCCTGCTCCTGGTGGCAAAGCAACTGGAAGGAGATCAAACAGTGGGAAGATGGAGAGTAGGAAAGAAGTTGCAATTCGGAGGTACCATCCAGGATTGCAGGGTAAGTTGTAGTTTGGATTCCTGGGAACAAAGGGGAAGAGAGAAAAGAAGGCATGTCATGGCTCAGGGCCCAGACATGCCCCTCATCTACAGGGAATAAACTCCCTCTCTTGCCTTGCACATAGTATCCTTACATCCCCCTCTGACTTCACCTTGGAACCCAGGGCCTTGTCTCCCAGGAAGCCTTCCCAAATTGATCCATACCATTTCAGAATTCATTCTTCCACCACAGGTATTAACAATTTTGAGTTTTGGATGTACTTACCATGAAGGCTATAATTAGAAAAAAAATGCAAACTTCCACACAAATAACAGTACCAGATACAATATTTATTTTTATAAGTGTCAACCTGCTAGGCATGGTAGCACATGCCTGTAATCCCAGTGGCTCAGGAGGCTGAAGCAGGAGGATCTCAAAGCCAGCCTCAGCAATGGTGAGGCACTAAGCAACTCAGTGAGACCCTGTCCCTATTTTATTTGTTTATTTTTATGTGGTGCTGAGGATCGAACCCAGTGCCTCACACATGCCAGGCAAGTGCTCTGCCGCTGAGCTACAGCCCCAGCCCAAGACCCTGTCTCTAAATACAAAAAAGGGCTGGGGATGTAGCTCAGTGGTCAAGTGCCCCTGAGTTCAATCCCCAGTACCCTACCCCCAAAAAAAGTATAAACCTAAGATTATCCTTAAACTCACCTAAAACATTATGAGATAAATACAAAATTTTCTTACAAACAGCGTCTATATTCTAATAGAAGAGCCTAAATTTTATAAAGCCTCAGAATATTATATTATTTGTCTTTCTACTAATGGTAAAAAGGGGTGTGAATTCATTTGTGATTCATTTAGCTGAAGAAAAATGGCTTTTCAGTTTTGTCTCTATCTTCTGGGCATAGAACATTTTTTTAATTTGAATAATCAAAGAGTCCACATTAATAATCAATAAAGAGCCGGGCATGTCAGTGCACACCTATAATCCCAGTGGTTCAGGAGGCTGCAAAATGAGAAGACAGAGTAGGGCCAGGGGCCCTGGGAGAAATGGGAGGATCACAAGTTCAGCAACGTAGGCACTTAGCAACTCAGCAAGACCCTGCTCTAAATAATATATAAAAAAAGGACTGGGAATGTGGCTCAGGGGTTAGGCACTCCTGTGTTCAATCTCAGTACCAAAAAAAAAAAAAAAAAAAAAAGAATCAATAAAGGAAAACAAACCTGCAGACATAATATCAGAATGCCTTGAAGGTCATATAAAAAGAGGACTAAGTATGCCATGCCCTTTGTTAGCAGAGCTAGATTACTGAAAATGTTTAGCTGGAAACTAAAATACTTTGGGTTTTCTTAAATGTCCCCCAAATGAAGTTAGATGGAGGGGTTTTAGATTGGAATCAAAATCAGCCTCTAAAGTATGGGGGCAGAAAAAGAATGCAGAGCCCAAGATCATTTTAACCAGTCSCCATCCTTGGGCAGGTCTCTTTCCCTCCCTATCTCACTTTCCTCTTAGGTACAAAGAGCAATGAGGAGCAACACCCAAAGCTCTCCCATCTCCTTTCCTGAGATTCCAGATCTCTCTAATCCTTATCAGCAAAGCACAGATAGGTGAGTGACAGCCACAATCTCAATTGAGTACAAGATGGTTTTTCTACCTTCTCATTAGACTGTGAGTTCCCAAAGRACCATGCCAATTTTTGTTTGCTTGTTTTTGGTACTGGGAATTGAACCCAGGGGTGCCTAGCCACTGAGCCACATCCCCAGCCCTTTTTGTGTTTTATTTTGAGACAGGGTCTCGATAAGTTGCTGAGACTGGCTTTGAACTTGTGATTCTCCTGCATAAGCCTTCTGAGCCACTGGGATTACAGGAGTGTGCCACCAGGCCCCCAATTTTTTGTTTTGAGATGAGAACTCAATGTGTTGCACAGGATGGTTTTGAACTCCTGGGCTCAAGTAATCCTGTCCAAGTAATTGGGATTTACAAGCAGGCACCACTGTGCCAGGCCAAGACTGTGCCAATTTTTAATAGTGCCTTCTCTGAACAAGCAGTGGAAGCCTGTGCTGAATAATCTGCTCTAGCTTTTTGTCTTGTTTCATGTAAGAGACAAATCAGAATTCTTCCCCAACCAAGCAGGTCTGCTGCTTTTCCTACCAAGGCAGGGATTCATCAGTTTCCTAATACCTCTTGGAKAGAGACACTTTTCTCTCTATCAGAGTAGGAACTCCCAAAGGCTGAGATCAGACTGTACTCCTGCTTTTTCAGCAGCCAGAGAGAGACTACCTTTGGCTGTCTGTAGTGATCCAAGAACAAAACACAAAATCAAAGTGAGTCTAGCACCCACACCTTTCAGTTCTAAACCTGGGAAGCCTTAAGGTCTCCTCTGCAGCTGAGTCTAAATATGCTCTTCTTAGCCTAGTAATACTGAGGTTGCATGGATGGAAGTAGTAGAAACTTAAACACAAGTCATTCTTCTTGGGCTGAGAATGTAGCTCAGTGGTAGAGTTCCTGCCTAGCATGTATGAAGCCCTAGTTTGATTCCCAGGATTGCAATTAAGAAACACACACACACACACACACACACACACACACACACGTCATCTTTCTTAGAACACTGTTCACCTAATTCATGTCAGTTGTATTTGGGTATCTTAAAATCTACAACAGGAATTTCCCCCATGCATTGGGCCTTTAATATATACTAAGTACTGCACTATACGTTTAAATGCATTATTTAATTTAACCCTCTCGACAATGCTGAGACTAAGAGAAGGTAGGTAATTTGCCCAAGAATAGCCATACTGCTAAGTGGTAACACTTGAGCTTTTACTTCTGTCTTACTCCAGAGATCTCGCAATTCTGGTGACACTGAGGGGAGATGTGGGTTGCGGGTTAAGTCTGTACGCACACACTGGACAGAAATCTTGCAGCCCTCTCTACTCACCGCGGGGTGCCCAGATGACAGGCACTGAGCACCGCGAGAAGCGTGTGGGGAAGGACGCTGAGCACCAGCTGGGTGAAGCAGTGGCCCGTGGTGTTCCCCTCCCACAGCGGGAGTGGCCGCGCAGTGCTGGTGCCGCACAGCTGAGCCAGGACCCGCTCCACGGACATTTCACCAGAGCGGAATGCTGAGCTAAAAACCAGGAAAGAGAGCTCGTCCAAGGGCACGTCCCAACCGAGTTTCCCCGCCCTGTCCCCGCCCCTCGATCCTGACCCTCCCCTCACTCCCGCCCCAGGCCAAACCCCGCCCACTCTCGCGGTACCTCAGAGGATGAAAAAGAAATTTCACTTCCCAGAGTTGGATGATTTCTGGTCAGGTTCGCTACTCAGCCCAACTCTTCCCACTCCAGTGACTGTCTTCTCCCAGTGATCCGGAACCTCAAACCTAAAGAAGTTGCTTTCCGCCGGATTCTGATACCTCAAGTACAGGTGGATGGAAAAGAACGTGTGGCTGATCAGGCTTCTCGGGCAGGCTCGGCGGGCGCCCCCTAGAGTTGGGAAGACTTACCAGATCGTGTTATCTCCCCCTTGGCAGGGCTTCTGCGCGCGCTTGCGCACTGCTTTCCTCTTGGTGCAGTTTCTGTACACGTGTTCCGCTGCCATCGTACAGTTGTAAGGGCCTTGCGTGTGGGCTGGTCTGTTACCTAGCGCAGGTTCATTTTATACTGTCTCACTTGGAATATTCGCTCCCATCCACCCACTGCTTACTAGATGGCACAAGCATTTCACTTAAATGCTTCTAACTTACAGAGCTGAGGGTCCAAACGTGCCTGCTACAGTAAGAGGTAACGCTGCTCTAAAACGTTTACAAACGTTTTTTTTTTTTCATATATAAGACTATGGCCGCGCAGGTTGGTGCACACCTGTAATCCCAGCGGCTGAAGAGGCTGAGGCAGGAAGATTACAAGTTAATAAGCAAACCTCAGCAACTTAGCGAGGCTCCAAGCAACTTAAGAAGACCCAGTGAGGGGGAAAAAAAATTTAAAGGGGCTAGGTTAAGTGGCTCAGTGGTTAAGCGTCCCTGGATTGAATTCCTGGTACAAAAAAAAAAAAAAAAAAAAAGGACTCATACGAAGGCAGTGTTGAGAGAGTTGTCTAATGGAGTGCTTAGGGCAAGTGCTTACAGCAAGTGCCTTGCCTAGAGTAGTACTCCAAAAAATAGTTTAGAATACAAGCTTTAGAGTTGGGTAGATGGACTTGGGTTCAAATCCTGACCACAACAATTTTTAGCAGTGTGATGCTAAGCAAGTTATTTCTGCATCATTGTTTTATTTTCCAGGTATGTATATTGGTAGCTGTTTCACACAAGTGTGTGCAGCACCTGAAGAAAAGTAGCCCTGTAACAGGGGTCCACTCCATGCTTTGAACCTACGCTTGCTGATCTGCCCCTGCAGCTTTTTGTTTGTTTGTTTGTCTTGTTTTTTAGTTATACGTGGGCAGAATACTTTTATTTTTTATGGGTTGCTGAGGATTGAACCCAGCGCCCGCGTGTGCTAGGCAAGCGCTCTACCGCTGAACCACAACTCTCCCCCCACACCACAACTTATTTTAAAACTGACACGTTTTTTCACCTCTCTCTCTTCCCCTCCCTAACCATGGGGGAAGCAAGATTAACCTTTTTCCCCTTCTAGGCCAAGTTATCTGTCCTTGAGCTCACACACCACAGGAATGAAGGAATCCAAAAACTGGCACCAGAAGATCTAAGAAACAGCTAACTAGTAAAGTGTGACTCTAGATAGTGCACAGCTTTTGAATCACCTTTTTAAAAATCCTGTTTTCTGACCCTTAGAATCACAGACTCTGGGACAGAAATACTCTGTGTTTCTCCTTTGTAGCAAAATAAAACTTTATTCCTTTTCCTCATTACTGGATTGGCATTAGGGACAAGGACCCAGTGTTTGGTAGCAGCTCAACGAATAACAACTGTGATTACTACATTCAATCTCAACTAGAAGCCTGGTATTTCTCAATGTCAGGATTAATGTTCCTATTTTGAAATATTAAAAGATGAAAATTTGCATTTCACAATCTTTAATAAATAACACATCATCTAGGCAATGACTACTAGTGGCTGCTAATGCACAAAAACAGAAACAACCTGACATTATGTGTTTCTGAATGGAAAACAAAATATTTGTACCAAAAACATAGGCTGAATCCAAGTAAGTCACTAGGTCTGATACCAAAAGTTCCCTCCTCATCTCCATTGTCAATTCAATAGCAAGGACAAAGTTTTGAGAAAAAGGAAAATGTTTTACTGATTTTTTTTTTTAAAGAGAGAGAGAAAGAGAGAATTTCAATATTTATTTTTCAGTTTTCGGCATACACAACATCTTTGTTTGAATATGGTGCTGAGAACGAACCTGGGCCACACGCATGCCAGGTGAGTGTGCTACGGCTTGAGCCACATCCCCAGCCTCTGTTTTACTGATTTGCTAGCAAAGAAACACAGGGAACTCCTATCCCAGAGGCTGTGATTCTCCCCGCCATGGAGAATACAGGTTTTTTTTTTAGATCTTGTTTTGTTTTGTTTTGATACTGGGAGTGAATCCAGGGGCACTCAACCACTGAGCCACATCTCCTCAGCCCTATTTTATACTTAAAGGCAGGGTCTCACTAAGTTTTCTAGCATCTCGCAGTTGCTGAGGCTGGCTTTGAACTTGTGATCCTCTTTCTCAGCCTCCTAAATAGCTGAGATATCAGGCATGCACCATCATGCCTGGCAGAACAGAGTTTTTAAAAGACAAATCCAAGCTGCCCAGGCCAGCACCAAACTCGTGACCCTCCTGCCTCAGCTTCCCAATGGGTTACAGGCATGCGTCTCAATGCCCAGCTCATTTGGTATGTTTTTGAAGTTCACCAATGTTGTAACGTGTAACAGTAATTTACCTTTTACAAAAGGAAAAAAAATAAAACCCAGCTATTCTTGTAGGAGATAGATGAGGAGGACATGCAAGACAGCAGGAAACAGTTTTATTTGGCTGCAGTCAGGTTTAGAAGGCAAAGCTCTCTCTGTAATCAGTTAATTCCCCTGGCAGTTTCAGAACTTTATACCCAGTGTGTAAAGGGAGGGGCTCATAAGTTCACAGTCTGCAGAAGTTCACTACAAAAACAGTTCTTTCTTTCACTGTTCTGGGCAAGTTAATCCTTCAAGGACAGCACCTGAGAAGGGGAGAACTTCTCCCCTTCCTTCTCTCCTCTGGCTAGCTGTTACCAAGGACCCAATTAGTATCCTCTTCTCTTTGAAATGTAAAGATCTCTGTGAAGCTCTGGCCCAAGGCCAGAGGCCTCATTAAAGAATATGACTGGGGTTGTAGCAAAGCAGTAGAGTGCTAGCCTAGCATGTGCGAGGCCCTGGGTTTATCCTCAGCATTAGATAAAAATAAATTAAATAAAGGTATTGTGTCCAACTACACCTAAAAAATAAATATTAAAAAATAACTTTGTCTTTCTTATCTCACTTTGCATTGCAAACACACTTCCAGCTTGAAAACTTTTTACAAACTATTACAAATATTGTTACTATAATAGAGAGTCCATAAATGTTTGTGAAAAACTAGTAAAGGGGTGTTCAGTACCTGGAATGCTGATCTCCTGCAGGCCTATGGCCAAATTTAATTATTGTAAAATAGAGCAAAAGGAAATAGAAAACTTAACTACACTGAACTCTTTTGCAGAGATCCTTTTGCTGATAGTCCTAAGATCAATTATAGTGATTTTCTGTGGAAGAGCGGGTGCCACTACAATGTTAAGCTACTAAAGGAATCTTCCTCCCCAGATAAATGGAGATACTTTTAGCCATAATGTCTAATTTTGTAAGGGACCGGCGAACGACAGAGGAAGAGACCACCAAGAGACCGACTCATGCAACAGCAAAAGGGTGTTTATTGCAGATCCAGCGCGCTGGGGCTCCATGCTCACTCAAGAAGGGAGAGCAGCCCAGAGCCCAGAGCAGGGGTTAAGCAGTGCTTAAGTACACTTCTTGGGGAGGGCGGGGGCTTTGCATACATCAGAGCAAATCATCATGAGGCACGGGAAAATCGAACAACAACTCTCAAACATGATTAGTACATTCATTGGTGGGAACATGTCGGGCGGGGGTGATAGGTCAGTCCTAAAGTGGGGTGTACATTCAAACTGATTGGTTTAGGCCCTGAGGTGCCTATGTACTGAGCTGCACTGGGTCCAAGTTGTTAAGTAACTAGGGGGGATTCCTACACATATCTAATGGGCAGTCCTGGGAATTGTCTTAACAGCTATAGGAATTTCGGGCTTTGAGTGTAGCTTAGAAACTTAACAATACCTGGTCCTTTACATTTTAACTCTGGCTTTGCAGCTTAGAAACTTTACAATACCTGGTTCTTTACATTTTAACTTCAGTTTCTTTTACCCTTTCATTTCCCACTCCTTTTTTCTGACTACTTTTAATCTTAAAAGTGATAGATCATAATTACTGAGGGATTTCACATTCCATTTCTGCCAGTGGAGCATACTGCTGTCTGATTACCATGGGTTTCACCTGTCCAATCTGAGCCTGGAGGAAAGAAACTATGCGGTTAAGCAAACAGGGTCCCACAGTTAATAACAGCATAAGGATGATCAAGGGTCCAGCTAGGGCTGATAGGAGTGTAATTAACCAGGGGGACTGGGTGAACCAAGACTCAAACCACCCTTGTTGAGTTTCCCTTTCTCTCTGGCGCTCTTCAAGGCGTTTTCTTAATTTACTCATGGATTCTTTTACAACTCCAGTATGGTCAGCATAAAAACAACATTCTTCCCTTAGTGCTACACAGAGGCCTCCTTCCCTCATAAAGAGGAGATCTAACCCCCGCCTGTTCTGCAAAACAACTTCAGAGAGAGAGGTTAAAGACTCCTGCAAGGCTGTGATAGAGGTTTCGAATGTCTTCAAGTCCTGATCTATTGCTGTTTCTAATTGGGCCATTTGTTGTGACCCATGGATCATTGCGGCCGCTCCTGTACCTACTCCTGCAGCAGCTCCTATCCCTAACAGGATGGCTAGAGTGAGGGACACTGGTTCCCGGCGGAAACGGGTTGTTTGTCCCCCTACTAGACCTTCAAATGATTCTGCATCATGATAAAGCACCCTGGGGAGTATTTGCACCATTACACAATAGTTTACAGAGCTGTCAAACACCTGGGCTGAAATGCAAGGAGTTAATCCTGAGTCACATGCCCACCATGTTCCTTTCTCAGGGACTAGAAAGCCCTGCATGGTGTTGATTTCTCCTATCTGGGTACATATGTGTTGTTTACTCTTGGGTGGGGACCCTAGACATAAACCTGCCCCGGTTACTTCTGGGAGAGTCAACTTCGGATTTTCGTCCCAACTACAGGTGGAACTCTACGTCTTCACAGCATAAGTCCCATTGACTGCTATCCCTTCATAATAGGGGGGTGCAGCAGAGAGGCATAGCCAGCAGGATTGGGTGAAATCTGGCTGTGTGGAGTTCAGTTCCATAAAGGTTCCTTTAATCAATTCCCAGGGGGAGGAGTCAGCTGTACTCCGGACTGGGGAAGTAGGCAAAGACGGAAACTGGGAGGAATGAGATGGTAGAGGGGT